CCCCACACCCCCAAAACAAGCAGGCTCAACAGGCATTGCTTAACGAGAACCATAAAATATTCCCAAAGCCAACAACCTGCCCACTTCACCTCCTCCCTGGATGATCCTTCCAAGCTCAGCCATATTTATCAAAAGCCACATTTTTCACATTTCATGTCAGCATACCAAACAGAACAGAAATAGTGTTTTCTTCTGTATGCAAAAACAAAATTAAATATTACTTTTGATTTTCCCATTTCTGTCATACAGCTCAAACATTATGGGGAAAGTATATTTCTAATTATGATGGAATTTCAGCCCACCTTAGACTTACAACTGATCAAAATATTATACAAATACTATTCCAGGGGTCACTGAGGCACTTACCATCAAGAGAAGAAATGGGCAAATTATACACTATAAACTTGAAACCTGACTTTATGTCTCTTATGTTTTTATGAGTGAGCATTTCCCTTGTTTCTAAATATATCTTTTGCTATTATTTGAACGTTCTGAGTTGGAATCACAGTCTGAATTTTCTAGACGCATTAGCCTCAGGTAGACCTCACGAAGTGCTGCAGGGATGAACCATGTTAAAAATGGCCAGCGTTTCAAAATTCACTAACTAAATGGTAAAGTATTAACCAAGAAAAGCCTCATCAGGGTCAAAGGCAAAGAATGGACTTGGCTTCTGCCCTATGCTCTGAGAAATGATGGCTTATTTATAGCCCCACAAGCAAGTAACTGCAGGAGGCCTGGAGCCAAAGGAGTGATGCATCAAAACATGGCTGGGGGGGAGGGGGGGGCAGGGGTTAGAAATGGGGAGAGGCGAAACACAGCTCACTCCCAACCCTGCACCGCCTTGCAGGCCGGAGCTGCTCTGCTTTCCCATGAAGGGAAATATCACTTATTTGGTGTACTTGCCCCCAAAACAGAAGCACATATTTGGCTTCTGAGTAGCAACTTTCTTTCACCTGCCCAAAGAAACTATTTAATCCAACAGCTCCATTAGGCAGGGGGCTCAGAAAACCAAATTCTATAAAAACTACTGATTTATTATTGTTGATTTACTAGTGCCAGGACACTGAAAACTGTGAGACTCGCACTAGCGCTGTAAACAGCCACCTCACTTTAAGTTTCTAGGGTCCCTCCCCCACCACCCTCCACCTGCCTCCGAGTCATCCTCTCATTTTAAAAAGAGCCCCTTGGAGAAGGAAATGGCAACCCACTCCAGTATTCTTGCCTGGAAAAGTCCATGGACAGAGGAGCCTGGCGGCCTGCAGTCCATGGGGTTACATGACTGAGCATGTGTGCATGACGGTGGAGGGAGATGGGTTGGTAGCAATAAAGTGGTAGAACTAAAAAAAATAAAAAGAGCCTCTGACTCGCATGTCTTGCCCACAGCCCAAAACTCTTAGAAGCAACAAAACACAGGGGTAAGAAAAAAAATTTTTTTTAATTAAAAAAAATTTTAAAAACAAAACACAGGTGTGCAGCACCCTCTTCCCCACGCCCCTTTCTATGGCTTGTCTTCTCCTCTGGGAAAACTGATTATCAAAACACAGAAAGCAAAGGTGCATACTCTCAGCAGTAAATGTGTACACTCACTAATGCCTCACTCGTCCTCCCAGGACACTAACAAGTGTCAGGGTTGGACCTGAGGCTTCAGAGCCAGGAACTCCGGTAGGCTGCGACCACCTACCTCCTGCTCACCAAGGCTGGGACCGCTTCGATTTTTGCCTCTGTGTACATGACTTTGACCTTATCTCCCACCACAACCAAGTGTCTAGTTCAGGATGGAAGACGTTTAGGTGCTCAGAGAAATGAGACTTGTCTCATACACGACTGTTCTTATACATATTCCAGTCGTGATTAGACTAACCCTATGGGATGCCTATGAATGCCACATAGGACTGCCAACCATCCAATGTTGGACCCAGATGAACTGGAAGTTGAAGTTACCAGAACAAACAAGTGAAACTGAAGACCTGGCTGTTGACAACCTCCATAACCTCGGGATGAAAATGATTACTTAAACTGAAAGCTACCAGTGCATAACTTTGATTAATGCTGTAACTTTTGCAAAAGTGACTGTAAGTGAAGTTGGAAAGTAAAGGACTATTGACTATCAGAAAATGTTTTGTATATATTAAATAGAAATCGACCCATATTAAATTAAATAAAACCTGCAAATCAATAATAATAATAAAAATAACAATGGGGGAAAGGGGCAAAGATTAAGGATACACGAATAAGAGAAACCAAAAAGTGCCAATAATTCTATTTTTTTTTAATGTGCATCTTCATGAGTTATCAGCCATCTGCAAATTAAATGAGATGCTGTTTCTCACCCAGATTGGCACAGATTTTTAAAAACAAATGGTTCAAACCAGAAAGAATTTAGGGGACACTGGATTAAACAAGATAATGAACCCAGACCACAAAGGCAGCTCTGTGATGAGCACAGAGCACTCCTGTTACCTTCAGTGTCTTGCCTGTGCACGGCTCGTGACAGGTGTGCAAAGAGGAAAACACACCTGTTAATATCTGGAGTGAAAAATCACCCCCACCAACCCTCCACAAGATAACTGGCCAGTTTCTAGCAAAACTACAAAACTCATAGCCCACTACTCCAGCGACACCAATTCTGGATATATTCCTCAGAGAAATTATCAAATTTAACTGCATCCACGGAAACATATGAGATCGTTCACTATCACCCTGTGTGCAATGAGAAAAACAAAAATGAGCAAAGGACCACACATTGCCTCTCCAAATTATGAACCACCACACAGTGCTCAAGAAGACGGAACCAGATTTAAATGTATTAACATGGACAGAATTTAAAAACACAAGTTGGCAGATACATAATACTCATGGTTGATATATTTCTGAAAAACTAAAGGGCTATAAGACAATGTTGGGGGGTGTTACAGGTATATATATACACAAGAAAACTCAACCCACAAGCATGGTTGCTTCTTGGGAGTGGGAAAGACAGGGCTGACCTGGAGGGATTTGAGAGCTGGCTAGAAGGCTTTCTTTTTTTTAAAAAAAAAAGGATAAAAATCAAAAGCAAATATGATAGAAGACTTAACTGTTATTTACTGGGGATGACTAAGAAGGTGTCTGCTTTACCATGTGTTGTCTTTCATTTTTTTAATTTCTCAAAGTGAAAATTCTCCCGGCTGCCAGGCCACCTTGGTGAAGAGGCGGCCTTGACCCAGCTGTCACGGTGTCTGCTGTCCCCAGAGAGCTGCGCTGAGAGGCGCAAAAGCAGGAAAGGAAGGGATAAAGGGTCATCCTCCACCTGCCCCTACGTCCTTCTACATCTTCAGGAGGACTTTTCACATTTCCACTGGAAGTTGTAAGAACCTGTCCTGAGCTGTACCTCTGGTTAATTTTACTCTGTGGCACACCTCTGAGCTTTCTGGTCACACGGAAGTCTTGTTACCCTCTGTTCCTACATATCTTACAGTTTCCCCAGAGACAACCCCTTAGAGACCACCACACAGGTTTGGCTGACTGACGGAGAAACTGCAATGCTCAAAGCAACATCTGTGACAAATCTGGGACTCACAAGGGTACAAAATGCAAAACAAAGCAAATGAAAAGGTGGAACTCTCTTTGCCTCTGAAAGAGGTGAAATTAAAATAGCCATGAAGCATCATCACCAGTTAGGGTGTGAGGGCTTCATCTGTATCATCTCATTTAACCCTCAAAGTCACCCTACGGGGGCAGCACTTCCCAATAACACTTGGGTCAGGGAAGCAGCATGTCCAGAACTCAGAGCAGACAAACAGAGCCTAGCCACTGACGACCAATCCTGAGGGTTGACCACTAAGCTTTATGGTATAAAGATGATGAACTGACTGACCCCCCTCTGGAGAGGATTCGGGGAAATAAGCCTTCTCGTGAAGTCTTCCTGGGGATGTAAATACCAACAGCTGGGCAATGAGTACGTAAGGTGTTATCAACATGCACAGCCTCCCTGCTGCCCACAACCCCACTTTAGAAAGCTACACCCCAAGAAGATAGTCTCAGAAGTTCTAAAAGGTACACATAAGTCCCACGAATTCCTATAAAATGCAAAGGCAGTCTCGATGGCACAAGGAAAAACTGCAAGCTTAAAAGTCTTAACAGTAAAGGACTAGCCTGTGGTATACACAGGCAGTGGAACACTATGAAGCTTTTTTATACTGAACCCTCTATGAGATCATAAATGATACGGTGGTCCCGTTAACGGAGAAATGTGTCCATGACTCCACATGTGCATACGGAGAGACAGTTTCCAAAATTTTAAGAGTGGTTTATCTTTGATAGCAGGGACCTCTGACGATTTTTTACTTTCTTCCCTTTGTTGTCCTTCATTGTTTGATTTTTCTTCTAACCTATCCTTTTTAGTGAAACTTTAGAGTTTAATGAACAGCAGAGATCTGTCAACGTTCAAATGAATACAGACCCTTGAACTCCGGGTTAAGTAAAGCTGTTTTCAGGGAATTTGTTACAAAACTATTCACCACCCTCACTTCGGACATCAGCATCCCTGAGCGGGGCATACGCTCCAGCAATGTCTGCCTCACAACCCACCGCTTCACAGACCAGGTACTCGCCTTCGAGACCGTCCAAACCCTGGGGCTCCTCTAACTATTTAAGTTCACCCTCATCGATCTCGTCAGCTCCGCCCCAAGGACTGGGAACCGAGAAGGGTGTCACGGACGTCAGCTAGCTCCCCGGCCTAAACCCAGCCCCAGCTCGCGTCACTGCCCTCGGTCCTGGCCCCCGTAGCTGAGGGACCCCCTCATCCCTCTCTGAGCACCCTTTGAACTCCGCCGCGTCCAGAACCCATCCCCCAGATCTGTGGCAGTGGCCCCCGGGGTCACAGCAGCCCCCGGTGGCTGAGACCTTGCCCTCTGGATCCCTGTTCGGTGGCAGCTGCCCTTCCGCAGCCCGTGGGGACCCCACCCCAGCCCCTCCCAGCCAGGTCCCCGGGGGCCCAGGCCCCGCCCCGGCGCACTCACCCTCCCGGCAGCGCCGCCTCCAGATGGTGTCAGTGTGCAGGATGCGTCGGAACTTGGTGCAGACCTGGGCCAGGCTGGGCAGGTCGGTGCCGGGCAGCGACGCGAAGATCTCCACCAGCAGCTCGGGCGGCAGTTCCAGAAGCGAGCATCGCGGGGGCGACGAGGGGCCCGCGCTCCGGCCGCCCCCGGCCCCGGACAGCGCCGCCGCCCCCGCCTCGATGCGCTCCTCCTCGGGGTCCGTGTCCGGTTCGCTGTCGGCCGCCGCGGTCTCGGCCGGGCCCCGGCGCTGCTGGCGGCGCCGGCATCCCCGCGACGGGCCCACGCCGCAGAGGCGAGCGCACACCGCCATGCCGGCGACTGACGGCCGCCGCGCCGCCGCCGCCCGTGCGCACGCGCCGCCCGAGAGCCGAGCCCCGCCCGCCCCGCCGTAGAGCCCGGCCCCGGCACGCCACGCCCAGCCCCTCCAGGGAGCCTTATCCCCGCCCCCAGGAGCGCGGAGTCCCGCCCCCCGGGGGAGCCGAGCAGCGCCCCTGGGAGAGCCCTGCCTCGCCACGCCCCGTCAGAGAGCCAAGCCCCGCCCCCAGGGGACCAAGGCACGCCCCTGGGATTCGAGGCTCCGCCCCACCCGACAGCCAAGCCACGCCTCTAGTGCATGCCGACATCCCCATCTGGAGCTTGGCCCCACCCACCAGGAGGGACCCTAAAAGTTTTCGGATGGCGTAGCCGGAAAGTCCCCTGCCTCGACCGCCCTTCGGGGTTCATTAGGCCCCTCTCCTCGCAGCCCCACCGGTCCCAGGCGGCCCCGGCCTCCGCTTACCTGAGGACTGCGGGCCTCCCGTCGCGTGCCCGGACAGAGCACGGGAAAGGAAAGTCACCGACAAACGCGCGACGGCCGCCCCTTCCCAACTGAGTGCACACGGCGGGTAGGCAGTAGATGGCGTGCTGCCGGTTGTGAGGGCCTAACCCACCACGTCCCGAGTAGGGGACTGATGAGCTCTCCCAGAGGTCAGCCTGAAGACCCTACGAGGGACCTCCCCCGCCCCCGGAAAATGCCTCAAGAAGACCCGAAGGCCCCCTCCAGAGCTCCCCCCAAGGATCCCCAAAGAACCCCCTGGGAAGGCTGAGGACCCCCAGGGAAATCAGAGGACACCTTCTCTCGAGGACCCTCCGGGAAGGCCTCAAAGAGCCCCCCAAAGAACCCCCTGAGGATCCCCAAAGAATCATCCAGGGAAGCCCAGAGGACACCTCCCCAGGATCGTCCTAGGAGGGCCCCCAAAGAGACCCCTGGGAATTCCAAGAACTCTCCAGAAAGACCCTGAAGACCCTCTGGAGAATCCCCCATAAAGGCCTGGAAGACAGTCCTCCTACAACCCCCATGAAGGCTCAGAGGATACCAGCCCCAGACCCTCCAGGAAGGCCGGAAGGAGCCCTCCTAGAACCCCCAGGACCTCTAAAACCCCCCAAGCACCCTTCCATGAAGAACCCCCCAGGGTAGCCCAGAGGACACTCTTCTGAGAACCTCCCAGGAAGGCCTGGAAGAACTCCCCAGAGGACCCCAAGAACCCCACCAAAAGGCTCAAAAGACCCCTAGTGTACACCTCAAGGAACCCCCCTCAGAGAACAATCCAGGATGCGCACAAGGACACCCCCACCCAGAAGGGTCGTATAAGATGTGATTAGGGGAACAGCACAAACTTATGGCACCTGGAACTACTTAAGCCAAGTCGGACCCTAAATTGGCTTTCTTTTATCTAAAAACTGACATTCACTTATTTCTACCCTGATTGCAATGAAAAGGGGAAATCACACTAGGTGTGTAGTCTATATGATCTTCAGTTGCTCAGTTGTGTCCAACTCTTTGCTACCACATGGAATGCAGCACACCAGGCCTCCCTGTCCATCACCAAATCCTGGAGTTTACTCAAACTCAGGTCCATCCAGTCGGTGATGCCATCCAACCATCTCATCCTGTCACCCCTTTCTCCTCCCGCCTTCGATCTTTCCCAGCATTAGGGTCTTTTCCAATGAGTCAGTTCTGCACATCAGGTAGCCGAAGAATTGGAGTTTCATCTTCAGCATCAGTCCTTCCAATGAATATTCAGGATTGATTTTCTTTGGGATGGACTGGTTGGATATCCTTGCAATCCAAGGGACTCTAAAGAGTCTTTTCTGACACCACAGATCAAAAGCATCAATTCTACAGTGCTTAGCTTTCTTTATAGTCCAACTCTCACATCCATACATGACTACTGTAAAAACCATAGCTTTGACTAGATGGACCTTTGTTGGCAAAGTAATGTCTCTGCTTTTTAATATGCTGTCTAGGTTGGTCATAGCCTTTCTTCCAAAGAGCAAGTGTCTTTTAATTTCATAGCTGCAGTCACCATCTGCAGTGATTTTGGAGCCCCCAAAATGAGGTCTGTCACTGTTTCCACTGTTTCCCCATCTACTTGCCATGAAGTGATGGGACTGGATGCCATGATCTTGGTTTTCTGAATGTTGAGTTTTAAGCCAACTTTTTCACTCTCCTCTTTCACTTCCATCAAGAGGCTCTTTAGTTCTTCTTCACTTTCTGCCATAAGTGTGGTGTCATCTGCACATCTGAGGTTATTGATATTTCTCCCAGCAATCTTGATTCCAGCTTGTGCTTCTTCCAGCCCAGCGTTTCTCATGATGTACTCTGCATATAAGTTAAATAAGCAGTGTGACAATATACAGCCTTGACGTACTCCTTTTTCTATTTGGAACCAGTCTGTTCCATGTCCAGTTCTAAGTGTTGCTTCCTGACCTGCATACAGATTTTTCAAGAGGCAGGTCAGGTGGTCTGGTATTCACATCTCTTGAAGAATTTCCCACAGTTTATTGTGATCCACACAGTCAAAGGCTTTGGCATAGTCAATAAAGCAGAAATAGATGTTTTTCTGGAACTCTCTCGCTTTTTTGATGATCCAATGGATGTTGGCAATTTGATCTGTGGTTCCTCTGCCTTTTTTAAATCCAGCTTGAACATCTGAAAGTTCACAGTTCACATACTGCTGAAGCCTGGCCTGGAGAATTTTGAGAATTACTTTGCTAACGTGTGAGATGAATGCAATTGTGTGGTAGTTTGAGCATTCTTTGGCATTGCCTTTCTTTGGGATTGGAATGAAAACTGACCTTTTCCAGTCCTGTGGGCACTGCTGAGTTTTCCAAATTTGCTGGCATATTGAGTGCAGCACTTTCACAGCATAATCTTTTAGGATTTTAAATAGCTCACCTGGAATTCCATCACCTCCACTAGCTTTGTTTGCAGTGATGCTTCCTAAGGCCCACTTGACTTCGCATCCCAGGATGTCTGGCCCTAGGTGAATGATCACACCATCATGGTTATCTGGATTGTGAAGGTCTTTTTTGTATAGTTCTTCTGTGTGTTCTTGTCACTTCTTCTTAATATCTTCTGCTTCTGTTAGGTCCATACCATTTCTGTCCTTTATTGTGCCCATCTTTGCATGACAAGTTCCCTTGGTATCTCTAATTTTCTTGAAGAGATCTCTAGTCTTTTCCACTCTATTGTTTTCCTCTATTTCTTTGCATTGATCACTGAGGAAGGCTTGCTTATCTCTCCTTGATATTCTTTGAAACTCTGCATTCAAATGGGTATATCTTTCCTTTTCTCCTTTGCTTTTCGCTTCTCTTCTATTCACAGCTATTTGTAAGGCCTCCTCAGACAACCATTTTGCCTTTTTACATTTCTTTTTCTTGATCACTGCCTCCTGTACAATGTCATGAACCTCTGTCCATAGTTCTTCAGGCACTCTGTCTATCAGATCTATATGATCTTGCTGTGCCCTAATTACCTTGTTTACTGTGCTCGAGGGTAATGTGGGTTCTAGAAGGGAAGCCAGCTGGGGCCTGGGGCAGGGGTGAAAGACAGGAAGCCTTCCTGTGACAGTGGCTTCCCCTTAAGCAGCACTAATAACAAGAAACCGTCATTTCCAGAGAGGAGGATGCTATTATGAGATTATGGGAGCAGACTTCTGCCTGGGTGGGCCCAACTCCTTTCTGGTCCAGACCGACCACTGGTCCTGAAGTGCTGGAGCAACTGCCCAGAGCCCATATGGAAGCTAAGAATCCACAGACCACCCCAGTGTTTCTGGTCAGTGTTGCTGTTTCTACTCAGATTAAAAAATAATGACCCTACCAGTTCCCTGGGCCCAGCCTCCACAAGGTCCTGGCTCTTCACTACTTCCCTAAGGAGGTCTCCAAGCGGAAAAGACGGCTGCCTACCTCAGTCTACAGAATCCCATAAACAGGGAAGTGCATCTTTTGACAAAAGTAACAATGCTGGACTTCAAACCTTGACCATCTCAGCTCAGGGCAATTGAAAAACAACTTGTGACTGCCTTCCCTGTATCTGGGTGTTTTTTAGAACTGTCCTCCAGCCTGTTACCAGAACTCTCTTCCTGCAAATGGTAACATAGAAACAAGAGTCATGCTTCACTCACCTATTTAATATTAGTATCTAATGGTCACATCACACAGAGTACTTCACAATCCAGGCCTAACCTCCAGGTCTGGCAGCATCTCCTATCTCCAAACATCTCTCAGTGGGAGCCACCCAGTTCCTTAGTGGGAACGCACCATGCCTTGTCACATCCCTGCCCTTGTTCAAGCTGTCTCCTCTGCCAGGAAAACCCTCTTCCCAGTCTGTGCCAGTACGCATTCACCCCTTCCACCTTGTTCTCAAATGGTACCCCTTCCCGGAATGTCCCTTTATTACTGCACCATCGTTTGTTTTATTACAAACATTTGCTTCCTTTGGTAGCTAGCTGTATCCTCTGTATCCTCACTAGCTATATCCTCTGTTACATGACAGACATGCTAGTGTACATCATGTAATAGGCAAATGTGTACTGACTAAATGCTGATTGAGTGAAGAAGAACAAACAACTGGCTAGATGGCTACAAAGGGAGGAATGTGAACCAAACAGATGTAAAGAAGCCTTGTGGATCATCACCATCCCCATCCAAGCTAGGAAGTCTCTCAGCAAACAGAAATGCGTCAACTCATGTGATAAGTATTTACAGAATGCCTGACTAACCTACATGCTATGTTCTGCGTGGATCCACAGATTATAAAGCATGCACTTTGCTGCTGTATATTTCAATGTTTTTTTTTAACCTGTCTACTCACTACTAGGTCCTATTAATAAAATATTCTAGAAGAGTTTTAGGGTATATTAAAATGTACAAAATAATTTGGTTAAGTTTCCATCTTTCAAAGAATGGTTAAACTATGTTCATGATTTGAATTATGTATAATTCAGTTAAAAGATATACCTAAATCTACGTTTTTGACAGCAGGAACAA